CTGAATAAAAGGAATGTGGTACAAAGACAATAGCATCCTGACTTTCAATTGCGATGTAGATTTCAACCACATTTTTACTCCTCTACTGTGATCTGGTCACTAACTGCTTTCCAGAGCAGATGAAACTAGTACTATTTTTTGCATCCCCAAAAAAATCCACGATTTCCTAGGGCATGGATCTTTCTAGCAAGGGGCAGCACTTTGTCAGCCTTGTAACAACGCACTGCCATGTACTACAAAATACTATCCAAACTGAATGCTAGCGTGATAGTATAACCCACACATCTCCTGGGTGTGGTGGTCTGTCCCATCTAGGGGCACCAAGACCACTTAGAGACCTAAAATGTGTCTGGTCCACAGCCTTAGCGAACAGACAGTCGGTCCGATCCTGCCTGCGTTACAATAGGATTAGGATCTATGTGATTTCTGATACTCATTAGAAACTGCAAAGATGTTTAATGAATCTTTGCCTTTGCTCAGATTACCTGAAGGATGTGACTGGATTTAGATGTTTTAATTTCCCACTGTTGCTAAGGTCATAGCTACACTGGGGATGTGTCCTGATTTTCAGTTAGCAGTTCAAATCCCCAGCATAGCATCAGGTTTCCTCTATCAAGCCTTGTTTTGCACTAGTGCAACTTGTTTTCAAGCATGGGTAGGTGTAAGCTGCACTAGTGCAAACTGCAGTTTATAGCAGTTTTCCTGTCTACACTGTGGCTGAGCATTGATGGAGCTGTAGTAAGATGAGGCCCTGAAATATAAACTCTTGTGTCAGAGGCCTAGTCTGAAGCCTGAACCAAAGTACTTCCAGGCACTGCTAAGCAAAAGCTGGGCTGTGAGCCAGAGGCAGGCCTCACAGAAATTGGCGAGAAGAGGGTTGTTAGAAGCAGATGCGTTCACACACAAGGGCTACTAAGAAGAACTTGTGCCAAGAGGGTACCTGGACAGCCCGATACAAGGACACTCCATAGACATAACAAGGAACAGGCAGGTGCATCTTAAAGACAGGATAGCATGACGGATTGATGTGTATGTCTGGAACAACGTGATCAAAGGTGAGACAGCACCCTAATGAGCCAAGAGGCTGTACCTCAGTACGTTAGGAGGGATGAGTAATTGTCCTGTAACTGTATAAAAGTAAGTCCCGGAGTGTGTATCTTTGGCCAGCCTAGGGGGCAGTGGGCAGTCCTGCCACTGACAGCTGTGTCCATTGCCAGGGGGCACATATTAGTAGAAAATCCTGTAGAGTCTATAGGAAACGATTACAGTGCTTTGTCTGACAATAAACCTGGCTCAGGTTCCTTCGTACCTTACTAGAGTCTGTGGTCATTGGGGATTCTCTCGGGGTCTGCTGTGTCAGCTATCTGCGCAGAGCTGGGGCAGCACACAGAGGGAACACGCACGCAGCCGACTGATATCAACATTGAACAAGAGCAGAGCACCACACCGGTAGCTACTGACAACAGGAGCTATATTGGGGTCAGACCACTAGTGGCTGAAAGCAGGACAAAGGCTCAGGCCACGTCTATACTACTGGCTAAATCGGCCGTTGATGCAGCGGTGTCAATTTTAGCAGGTCCAGTGAAGACACTAAGTTGATGGGAGAGGACTCTCCCGTTGACACAGCTTCTGCCCCTCAGGGAGGTGGAGTACAGACATCAACAGGAAAGTTGATACCGCTGTAAGTCAACCCAAGTTAAATCAATTTCAGTTATGTAACTTACGTAACTCAGATTGACTTACAGCATTAGTGTAGACCACCCCCAGTGTACACAAGACCACTAATGGTGGTAGCATTGAGAAGCTTAGTGTAGATGGGACAGTGGGTGCTACTGGCATTTTAAACACAATTAATGGTATTTTCAAAAGAGCCTAAGTGAGTTAAGGAGGAAGAGTCCTATTGAAAGTTGTTGGGAGCTGACTTGAGATGAAGGGGAGTTGATGTGAATCACCTTAGCAGCCTGTATCTGTTCCGTGGCATAGTGATTCTCCTCATATCTTTCCATACAATGAGGTTATGAAATGGAAATTGTTGAAAACCATTTAAGGTGGAGTTAAGGCCTCTCAACTGCAGGAAAATAGTAAACGTTTTTTTCATAAAATATGTAGAAATGCACCAAATTTGGTAAAGGTTAGTGAGGGACTGGGATGGTGAAGTAAAATACTACTAGTCAGCCCGGCGGTGATGTGTGCTTAGACTAAAGTTTCTGCAGGCAGTAGGTTTTGTATGTGGCTTATTATCTCCTATCTTGCTGGTCAACCTGTGCTGCAGCTGTGTGTGTGAGATCATTTTTAAACACACAAATGTGGTAATTTTTTTCACAACTGGTAAAACTTTTTTACTGTAACAATGTCACCGTCTTTCCATGACTCTGGGTCTATCGGTTGGTTCTCAACACTGCTATCCTCCAACAATCCCTCGGTTGCCATGTCCTCGTATAAAGACTCTTCTTGCATTCCTACCTATAAAAAAAATTTAACCATACATATTTATAAAACATCTGTAATTTTTCATCAATTTGTTATTAAAAAGACCTTACCTCCACCTTCGAGTCTGCTTCCTCCAAAGCGACGACACATTTTTTCACTCTATTCTTTTCCTCTTTGACAACTAGCCACGACTCCATAAAGTCGTCCTGTTTCTTGTGTTCAATTTCAGGATGAAACACAGGGTTAGGCAACCAGGTCTGCCTCTTTAGCAAAATAAGTGTAAATAGGTCTTCTCTTCTGAACACAAGCTGGTACACCCATGGGCAATTCCGGCTTCTCGGCATCTGTAGGAAACTTGTAAAAGGACATGGCCGTTGTGTCTAGGCTACTGGTTTTAAAACTGCCGTTCGCAAAAATATGTGGTTTTATACACACGGTCAAATGTTCATTGGCTAGAATTTTTCAAGTAATACACCCCACGATAGTCCTTTTCTGAAAGGCTCATTTTAGAATCTTGATGTGAAAGGATTGATTCAAAAAGTGCATTCTGTGACGTAGCTGTAAAACACTGAAAGACGGGGCTAGCTCCAAAGGTTCGCCACCCAGAACAACTATCATTGCACTACCGACAGTCGCTGGAGTAGGATGTTTCGCTTTGCATGTGTTCAGTAACAGCTTCTTATTGCTTTGGTTTTTGTATTTTCTAAAACCTTTTTTCTTTACCCTGTGCTTATTTTTTCCTTTCTATTATTTAAAAATCATCGCTCCATACTAAACCTAACCAAACAATCATTCTTCTCTTTAATAACCTTTTTATTTTTTCCTCTAAACGTAACTAAACCTTTTTTCTTTCAACCTTTTTCTCTAAACAATCAACCAAGTGTATCAAAGCACAAGCATGTAACATTCCCCCATTCAAATGTAAAAAATACTGTAATCACAAAAAAAAAAATTTAAAAATGGCTGACGGTACCAAACCTTGACACCAAAGGAACTGGAACCGCA